GGGGAGTTCTGTGATTTCACATGTGTCCCCTGAGAGCTGGGCATGGTCAGCCCATTCTCCAGATGGGGCAGCTGAGGCCCAGGGAGGGGAAGCACAGGCTGGGATTGGAAGCAGCTCCTGGCCTAGCTTTGAGTCAATTCCAGGTGGGCTGGTGCAGGGCACCAGGGAGCCACCAGCCAACCAGAGCTGCCCTCTGACTGGTGTCCCCGATGTGCCGGGAGTGGGCTTTGGGCTCCTTGGTTCTGGGTTTGGTGGTGGGAAGGATGGAGCTAGTGAGCCACCAGTCTGGGGTACGCGTCCTCAGAGTGTCCCCCCATTGGGATGGAGTCACACCGTATCGAGGACAACCAGATCCGAGCCTCCTCCATGCTGCGCCACGGCCTGGGGGCACAGCGCGGCCGGCTCAACATGCAGGTGGGCATTGGGATGGGCCCATCTCCCAACTGGGATGATGGACTCCTCTGCCCATGCTCAGCCTCCTCTGCCCCCTGGACAGGCCGGTGCCACCGAGGACGACTACTATGATGGCGCATGGTGTGCCGAGGACGATGCCAGGACCCAGTGGATAGAGGTGGACACCAGGAGGACTACCCGGTTCACAGGCGTCATCACCCAGGGCCGAGACTCCAGCATCCAGTGCGTGGCCAGGCTCATGGGTAGTTGGCAGGGGGGAGTGGCTCCATAGGCATGGCTTTGTGTCCCATGAAGGAGATTCCAGTGGGCCCTTCTTTGGCCCAGCCAAAGAAGGCCAAAAAGATCAGTGAGGGGCTGACCCTGCCCATCACCACTCCTCAGCCATGGTCAGTCAGCTCCTGTATCCTGATGAGCACATGAGTTTCGGGACAGACCACCTGCCCATGGCTATGTGACAGGCATAGGACCCAGGCTCAACACCTGGGCTGTGTGCCACCGCCCTGCTAGCTCTTACATTCCTGGGGCTCAGAAGAGGGAGGCTCAGGCCACCTGAGGGCCTGGGAAGGGGAAGATCCTTGCTGTGACCACTGTCCACTCCACAGTGATGATTTTGTGACCACCTTCTTCGTGGGCTTCAGCAACGACAGCCAGACGTGGGTGATGTACACCAACGGCTATGAGGAAATGGTGGGCACCATGCCCAGGCTCCTGGCTCTGCTCCCATTGTCTGGGCGGGGGGGCGGGCTCTCAGAGGGGTTGGCAGTACTGCTCTGAGGCCTGCCTCTCCCCAGACCTTTCATGGGAACGTGGACAAGGACACACCCGTGCTGAGTGAGCTCCCAGAGCCAGTGGTGGCTCGTTTCATCCGCATCTACCCACTCACCTGGAATGGCAGCCTGTGCATGCGCCTGGAGGTGCTGGGGTGCCCTGTGGCCCGTGAGTGTGGAGGGCTGGCAGGGGCTCGGAGGGGAGGTGGGGTGCTAGGGTGGGCCACCCAGCACCCGGCTAAAGACAACCCCGCCTCCCTTGCAGCTGTCTACAGCTACTATGCACAGAACGAGGTGGTGGCCACCGATGACCTGGATTTCCGGCACCACAGCTACAAGGACATGCGCCAGGTTGGGAACATCTATCCTGGGGCTGGGGTTGGAACCTGTGTCTGACAGGGGAGTGTGTGCCTGGTGTCACAGGGCCCAGTCCCTACTGGTTCCAGGGACGCTGGCTGTCCCTCACCTTAGGAAGGAGGCCAGTACCTGGGGGCTGCCTGAAGGGGTCATGCCTGTCCCTTGCCATAGAGCAGGCCCTGGAAGTGGATGGAAGGGGCATGGTCAGCGGGGGGCGGATTGCGTGATTGATTCCATGTCCTCCCCCTCTGCCCCAGCTCATGAAGGTGGTGAATGAGGAGTGCCCCACCATCACCCGCACTTACAGCCTGGGCAAAAGCTCGCGAGGCCTCAAGATCTATGCCATGGAGATCTCAGACAACCCTGGGGAGCATGAACTGGGTGAGAGTCTGTGGGGGCCAGCAGTTGGCCTGCGCTGCTGGTGAGCAGAGTTCACCGCCTCCCACCTGTTCTGGAGCCCCTCTGGGGATTCAGGCTTGTCTTACAGGGCCCTAGGAGCCCCAGCTGTCCCCCAGACCCTCAGGTGTGAGGTGGGTCTGGGTCCTTCCTCAGCTGCCCTGGGCCTTGGGAGACTGAGTGCTCACTGAGGCTCCTGCCCTTGCAGGGGAGCCCGAGTTCCGCTACACTGCTGGGATCCATGGCAACGAGGTGCTGGGCCGAGAGCTGCTGCTGCTGCTCATGCAGTACCTGTGCCGCGAGTACCGCGATGGGAACCCGCGTGTGCGCAGCCTGGTGCAGGACACACGCATCCACCTGGTGCCCTCACTGAACCCTGATGGCTACGAGGTGGCAGCGCAGATGGTGGGTTGAGGGGTGAGGCTGGCCGGGGCCAGGCAGCCAGGGCTTGTAGGGGTGTGGGTGGCCCATGCCTACCCTGCTGGCTCTCGACAGGGCTCAGAGTTTGGGAACTGGGCGCTGGGATTGTGGACCGAGGAGGGCTTTGACATCTTTGAAGATTTCCCGGATCTCAACTCTGTGCTCTGGGGAGCTGAGGAGAGGAAATGGGTCCCCTACCGGGTCCCCAACAATAACTTGCCCATCCCTGAACGCTACCTTTCGCCAGATGCCACGGTGAGGCTGCAGCCTGGCTGAGAGGGCAGGAGGGAGCAGCTGGACCCTGGGGTCCTGGTGTTCTGGGCTTGGGGGTGGGGCTGACGGTGCCTGAGCTCCAGACGCTGAGGCTCTGGGGGTTGGGGGACAGGGGAGTGTGCGAGTACTGGTGTGAAGCTTCATGGAGGGTGATGGGCTAGGTTGGGGATGGTGGCTAGAGGCTGCAGCCCTGGCTTCACATGTGCTGGCCACTCCAGGTATCCACAGAGGTCCGGGCCATCATTGCCTGGATGGAAAAGAACCCCTTCGTGCTGGGAGCAAATCTGAACGGCGGTGAGCGGCTAGTATCCTACCCCTACGACATGACCCGCACGCCTACCCAGGAGCAGCTGCTGGCCGCAGCCATGGCAGCCGCCCGCGGGGAGGATGAAGATGAGGTCTCTGAGGCCCAGGAGACCCCAGACCACGCCATCTTCCGCTGGCTCGCCATCTCCTTCGCCTCCGCCCACCTCACCTTGACCGAGCCCTATCGCGGAGGCTGCCAAGCCCAGGACTACACCGGCGGCATGGGCATCGTCAACGGGGCCAAGTGGAACCCCCGGTCCGGGAGTGAGTCAGCCTGGAAGGGGCTGTGGGCGGGGCCTAGTCTGGAGAGGGGCTGACTTTGGATCTGTGTCTGTCCCCGGCCAGCTATCAATGACTTCAGTTATCTGCATACCAACTGCCTGGAGCTCTCCTTCTACTTGGGCTGTGACAAGTTCCCTCATGAGAGTGAGCTGCCCCGCGAGTGGGAGAACAACAAGGAGGCGCTGCTCACCTTCATGGAGCAGGTGGGGTGGCCAGGGCAATGCCTGGGGAGAGGAGGCTGCAGATATTCCTGGACGGGCGGGAGGGAGCAGCGGACCACATTGGACCTTCCTCAGGACCAACAGCCCTCACCTGCTTCCCCAGGTGCACCGTGGCATTAAGGGGGTGGTGACGGACGAGCAAGGCATCCCCATTGCCAACGCCACCATCTCTGTGAGTGGCATTAATCACGGCGTGAAGACAGGTACCTAGTGTGCACATCTTTACCCCACCTTCCTGAGGGAGGACCCTGCCAGAGAGGATGGGGGCTTGGGGAACTCAGGGAGCAGGCAGAGTCTGGGGAGCCTGGGGGCGGAACCAGGGAGGCGGAGCCTAGGGGCAGGACTCGGGGAGGGCGGGGCCTAGGGGCAGGATTGAGTGGGAGGGTGGGGGCCTGGGAGGGGCGCTCTGGGGCAGCCGGATCGTCCTCCCTCCTCCCTCCGCAGCCAGTGGTGGTGATTACTGGCGAATCTTGAACCCGGGTGAGTACCGCGTGACAGCCCACGCGGAGGGCTACACCCCGAGTGCCAAGACCTGTAATGTTGACTATGACATCGGGGCCACTCAGTGCAACTTCATCCTGGCTCGCTCCAACTGGAAGCGCATCCGGGAGATCATGGCCATGAACGGGAATCGGCCTATCCCACACATAGACCCATCGCGCCCTATGACCCCCCAGCAGCGACGCCTGCAGCAGCGGCGCCTACAGCACCGTCTGCGGCTTCGGGCACAGATGCGGCTGCGGCGCCTCAACGCCACCACCACCCTAGGCCCCCACACTGTGCCTTCCACGCTGCCCCCTGCCCCTGCCACCACCCTGAGCACTACCATAGAGCCCTGGGGCCTTGTACCCCCAACCACCGCTGGCTGGGAGGAGTCGGAGACTGAGACCTACACAGAGGTGGTGACAGAGTTTGGGACCGAGGTGGAGCCCGAGTTTGGGACCAAGGTGGAGCCCGAGTTTGAGACCCAGTTGGAGACTGAGTTTGAGACCCAGCTGGAGCCTGAGTTTGAGACCCAGCTGGAGCCTGAGTTTGAGGAAGAGGAGGAGGAGGAGGAGGAAGAGGAGATAGCCACTGGCCAGGCATTCCCCTTCACAACAGTTGAGACCTACACAGTGAACTTTGGGGACTTCTGAGATCAGGGTCCTACCAAGGCCCCAGCCCAGCTCAAGCTACAGCAGTAGCACTTCCCAAGCCTGCTGACCACAGTCACATCACCCATCAGCACACGGAAGGCCCCTGGTGTGGACACTGAAAGGAAGGGCTGGTCCTGCCCCTTTGAGGGGGTGCAAACATGACCGGGACCTAAGAGCCAGAGGCTGTGTGGAGGCTCCTGCTCCACCTGCCAGTCTCGTAAGAGATGGGGTTGCTGCAGTGTTGTAGTAGTGGCAGAGGGAGGGAGCCGAGGTCACTCCAATAAAACAAGCTCATGGCACGGACTGCTCACATTCTGAGGGGTCAGGGATGGGGAGGAGGAGGGAGACCGGCTGGTGGGTGCAGGGGCTATGGTCACTGTGGGTACCCCTGCAGGAGTCCTGTACCCAGACTGCCCAGGGCTCAAGGCTCGCATCAGCAAGTGCTCAGGCTTTATTTACAACGCCAACACTGCAGGGAATGAACAGCCTCCATCTGGGCCTCTCTGGTCAAAACCACCTTTTTGAGTCAGGGGCCCAGCCCCAGGCCTCCCAGGTCATCGTCCTCTGCCCCGAAGCCCGAGAAGCTGATGGGTTGGCAGGCCAGGCTGCGCAGGTTCACAAGGCAGGCGGTCTGCGTGGCACTGAAGTCAGGGACAGTCACCAACAACACTGTCTGGTCCTCAGGACCTGCAAAGAAGTCACATAGGACTCACTGTAGGTTCCAAGTAAGTCCTGCCTCAAAGAGAAGCTGCCAGAAATAAACAGGAGTCCCCGTTGGCACACAGTGGGGCAGTGACAATAGGAGACCAGAGATTAGCCTTGAGAAGCACACAGGCTGGGCGCTGTTCTAGCCCCTGCCCAGCTGGCCAGGCAGCTTGGCTCCCACAGTGAAATAATGGCTGCACAGCAGACCTCAGCCGTCCATCCCACAAGAGCTGGGGGGACTCCACAATGCAGGTTTTCTTCTCTGTCCCCAGGTGAGAACCTTGTTCCCAGGTGAGAGTGAATCAGCAAATCAGGCCTGGGCCCCCAGAAGACAAAAATTACCTTGGATGATTTTGGAGCCAAAGCTGGGGGTGTTGCCACAAAAGTAGACATGCGGGCACTCTAGGAAGATGAATGGGTCGGTTTTGTAGAAGGGGTAACAACCTGGAGGAGAACAGGCAGCTCTGAGGAGGGTTCCAGCTTCAGCACTAGCACTCTGCACAGGAGGTGGGGCTGCAGCCCCTCCTCCCACTGCAGGCCAGTAGGAGACCCCCAGTGTGACAACAGGAGCACCTCCAGATACTGTCACAAGACCTTGGCCCTGCTGTTGCTGCGTGTCGGGGTGGGGAGCCATTGGCCTTAGAATTAAGATTCCAGAGTAGCTTCCAGAGCAGGTGCCAAGCCTCTGAACTTCTCCTCAGCTCTCAGCAATGCTGGCAAGTGCAAACCCACAGGGGGACCCTGTGCACTTCAGGGTCCTGCCAGACCTCTGGCCCTCTGCTCCCACCCCGTATGGCTGAGCCTGTTACCTAGAGTGTCAGGTGCTGTGGGGCTGATGTGACGGACCCGCAGGGTCCACTCCAGAATCTCCAAGTGATCCTCCATGCTGCTGTATCGGAAAATGTCACTCACATTCTGTCCTGATGTCCCCAAGAATCTGCAAGGCAAAGCTCAGCTGACCCTTGGCTACGGGTGCCACCCATAGTGGTCAGCCCAGAGCTCATCTGGCGCTCCTGTGGGGATGCCCCAGAGAGAAGGAATAGACACCAGGTGGGCCTCTGCAGCCCTGCCACCTTCCTGGACCCTCCCTCCCCTCCCCTCTTTGTGCCTCCTGAGGCAAAAGGCTGGGTCAGACTGAAGTGTGGCTGTGCCAGCTACCTGACTCCATCAATGGTGGCCTGGTAGGGGTTGGTGACCAGCTGGAGTGTGGAGTAGGCAGTGGCCAGCGGGAACATGCAGGGGTGGAGGGGCTGCTGGGGGAGCGTGTAGTTGGTGGGATCAAACTCGCCTGGCATCACATCCACGGGCACTGAGGCCTGGAAGGCACAGGGCAGGGAGAGCTCAGCCCCAAAGGAGCCCCCTACCCCAACTCCAGCCACTCCCCCTGCCCTCCTGCCTGCCTTCTCTTGCCCAGTGGCAGCTTTGAAGACTGCAATCCTCATCACCCCTCCAGCATCCAGCTCACTCACACTCAGCTGCAGGAGGATCTCATCCAGCATCTTCACAGCCTCCACGCTGGCTGCCTGGGTTTTCTTGGTGAGGTACTTGGCCTGGAATAGAAGCCCAGGAAGCCATCAGGCCCAGGCGAGTCCCAGGCTCAGAGGAGAGCAGAGTCCCACCAGCTGGAAGATGCAGATGTTGTCCCATAGACCCTCACTCCCTTCTAGCCTCCCACCACCCTCAGCGAGGGCCTGGGCACAAGAAGCCCCAGTGCAGGAGGCCCCAGTGTCACTGCAGGGCGCTTCCCACCGACCTGCAAGACCCCACAGGGTACCCAACTCGCCATGGGGAAGGAGAGTCTTACAGGTTTGCAGCCTCCTGGGCTGGGGCTGAATGCAGCCAGGCGGGCTCCATACCTTATTGATAGAATCTCTGCTCTGGGTGCTGTGGCTGAGGAGGTTACCGGCGAGGATAACCCGGGAGACATGAGCGGCACTGCACTGCTCCCCTTCGTCCCCAAGCTGCCCTGTCACCACATCCACCAGCAGCTGGGTGCCCAGCAGGCTCTCACCTCCACCTCCACCCAGGCCCAGGCCTGACACGAGCAGCACGAACCTATGGGAGAAAGTGGGGTCCTCCAGGGTGCCAAGAAGGGAGGCAGCCCCTCCTAGGTGTGACTCAAAGATTCCACTGACCATGAGCTGGTTCTGGCCCCCGAGAACTGCTGCTCACCTATCTGTGTCAAGTGGGGGTGCGGGCTTCTGGGGAGCAAGGTCAGCAAAGCAATGGTCCTCCACCAGAAACTTCCCATCGTCTCTCACGGAGCCAAACACAGCCAGGACAGTCCCTGGGGAGCAGCGGCATCAGGCCTGATCAGGGAGCCCCAGGTGCTACTACTCCTCCAGTCACCCCAACAGGCAAAACCAGCCAGTCCTCCACAACCACACTGGTGAATTCTCACCTAAGACTCCCGGAGGCATGCCTGCTTCCTGGGGTCACTGCCTTTGGATGGAGGTGGGGAGACCCATCTCCCAGCCAGGTCTCACCCAATCTGATGGCCTCTGGCCACCTGCAGCCTCACCTACCTCCTCAAGAACACAGGTGTGCCCAGGCCACACCCCCCTGCACATCCCCCCAGGCTCCCCACTCACACCCATCCCTAACACACCACTGCTGGGCTGTTCACCTGCATCACCCTCACCCCCTCATTGGGCTCCCTACCTGTAACCAGCTTTGACACATCAATGGTGCCTTTTAGTTTGATACGCTGCAGTTCATCTTCTAAGACCAGTTCATCATCTGGGTGTATGTATTTGCTCCGAGGAGGCTGGGGGAGCAGGTTGTGCTGGAATGCAGAGACAAGGAGGTATAATCTTGAGGCCAGAGCCCATCAAGGCTCTGGTGTTAGTGAGCTGGCACCCCAGCCCCCACCCCTCTGGAGCCCATCATCTCTGAACCTGCTTCCCCACACCCCCGCCCCCACGGAGGTGTTCTAGGGGGAGGCCAGGTCTGCTTGGCGGCCCCGCCGTGTAGTGCCCTGCCTCACCTCCTCGCTGATCTCTCGCAGGATGGAGGGCTGCAGCGGCATGGCCTTGAACAGAGTGCCCACCACACAGCACTTCTCCCCAGGCTGCAGCTCACACAGCTTCTTCACCCCGACTCCACTGCCTAGGACACGAGGGGTACAGACTCAGAGATGAAGTAGCCCCCACCCTGAGAGAGGCCATGGAGGCTCTGCCCAGCACTCCACGAGAGGCCAATCCCAGGGCCCTGGCCCTCGCCAGGAGAGAACATCAAGTGCAAGGACCCCTTGGACTTCAAGGTGACAGTAAAAGGTGAGTCAGCCACAGAAGACCAGGGACTCGGTGTGGTTGGGCCCTGGATGCCAAGTGTCCTCATGAGGAACAGAGAAACAGACACACAGACAAGAGGGAGTGTGAAGATGGGCAGAGTGGAGTGACGCGGCCACAAGCCCAGGAACGCCAGGGAAGAGGCCAGGAAGGACCCTCCCCTCGGGCCTTCAGAAGGAGCCAATTCTGCTGACATCTGGATTTCAACTTCTGGCCTTCAGAACTACCAGAGAGTAAATGTCTGTGTTTTTTGTTTTTTTTTTTTGAGACGGAGTCTTGTTCTGTCACCCAGGCTGGAGTGCAGTGGCACAATCTCAGCTCACTGCAAGCTCTGCCTCCGGGGTGAATTCCATTCTCCTGCCTCAGCCTCCCAAGTAGCTGGGACTACAGGTGTGTGCCACCACACCTGGCTAATTTTTTTTTTTTTTTTGTATTTTTAGTAGAGACAGAGTTTCACTGTGTTAGCCAGTATGGTCTCAATCTCCTAACCTTGTGATCCGCCCGCCTCAGCCTCCCAAAGTGCTGGGATTACAGTGGTGAGCCACCACGCCCCGCCATGTCTGTTGTTTTAAGTCAACCAGTTTGTGGTGCTTTGTTACAGTGCCTACAGGAAACTAATACAAAGTACTGCTTCACTTATACCTAAATTACAACACTGATTCTTAAAAAGAAGCATGCCAAGTCTCAACACGGCCCTGCCCTACAAATAACTGCCATTTTCTTTAAGACTTTAGATTCTTCCATCCCACTCTCCACCCCTACCATATGCTTCACCCTCTGAGAGCAGAGATACTCAAAATGCAGACCTCAGATCCCCTCCACCCATTCCATTCCCGTGGAGTCAGGTGGCCTTGTTTACCCAGGGCACCTGGGCACTGTCTTCCCCAGCCTCTTCTCGGGATCCTGAAGAGGCTGTGAACAAGAACACATGGGAGGGGCTCGGCACTCTCAAGAAGAAAGGTAGGGAGAGTCAGTGTGGGCAGGAGGGAGGAATACAGGTCTCCACACAGCACAGATCCAGGCCTGGAGAAAACACTGAGGAGGTGATAGGGTAATGCAGATGCCAGACCAGCCCCTTAGCCTAGCTGACTCCAGCACAGCCCGAGCCCCTGCTGCCTGGGAAGAAACGGGAACATTCCTCAAATCTACACCTTAGTGAGCAGACAGAGGTGAGCAACTCAAAACAAGACAAGAAGGATGCCAGCTGCAGACAGCAATGCAACAGACTCCACATCCTCACCTATCCCACTCTTACTCTCTCCAGGTGGCCTAAGCACTGTACATGTAACTCAGCCAACCCTGAAAACATGCCAGGAGTAGATATCATCACCCCACTGATGCACAGAGCAACGTGTCCAAGGGCACACAACTGGGATCCAAGTGTGTGCCCCTGAGCACTGGGCAGAATGTCATCCCTGTAACTGATAGCAGGATAGCAGGATACTCAGGCAATATCCTGGCACCAAGATCGAAACTGGACAGAAAGGCCAACACTTGCCCCCACTGAGCCCACTGGGTCTAGGCCGGAGAGCGACAACAGGCCATAAACAAGTAACTCGCCACAGTGACAAGTGCTGTGAACAAATGGTGAGCTGAGGTAGAAAACAGAGGCCCTCATTGGTCAAGGTGGCCCCTCAAAGAATATAATACTTCAGCTGACAGTGGGGCTTAGATGGGGTCATGGGAAGACGAGGGAAAGAGTGTGCCAAATGAAGGGAAAAGCCTACAGCAGGAAGGGCTGGGCAGGTTTGGGGAACAGGTGAGTGGAGAGACCAATCTGGAGAGACAGGCTGAGCTTCAGTGAGGACATGCAGAAGCCACATGTAGGTATTCAGGGTGAGGGCCAGCATCAACCACCAGGCCTGTGAGTGAGTGCTACTGCTGCCCCGCCGCTAGCAACACATTCATCGTGGCAGCTGTTTGGTTTCCTGACCAGTCTGTGGGCACAGTGAAATTGCTGTCGTCCATCACTGGGGAGCTTTTTTGGCAGCTCCAATAACTGGGAGAGAAATGTGCAACCAGAGGAGGTGCTGCTGGAAAGAATCTAGAAGGTGGCATTGACATTGGGCGCAAGTAGTAACTGAGCTCTAAAAAGAGCCAAGGAAGGTGTCCCGAGGGCTGAAAGGAAAGTGAGGAAAAGCTACCAGAGCCGCAGGAGGGAGCCCCTGATTATGTGGGAGAGGAGAGGTGAACAGCACTTTTGTCTCAGGTAAACAAAACAGAAAACATCCTGATACGGTTTGGCTCTGTGTCCCCACCCACATCTTATCTGGAATTATAATCCACACGGTGTTGACGGAGGGACCTGGTGGGAGGTGACTGGATCGTGGGGGTGGATTTCCCCCATGCTGTTCTTGTGATGGTGAGTGAGATCAAACCATCATGTGATCTGATGGTTTAAAAAGGGTTGGCAGTTCCCCTCGCTCTCTCTCTCCTGCCATCATGTAAACGTGCCTTGCTTTCCCTTCACCTTCTGCCATGATTGTTGAGTTTCCTGAGGTCTCCCCAGCCATGTGGAACTGTGAGTCAATTAAACCTCTTTTCTTTATAAATTACCCTATCTCAGGTAGTTTTTTATAGCAATGTGAAAACAGACTAATACATATCCCTAACGAATTTGATGTTCTAGCTAGATTTCTGGGCCCAGTATTCTCCTGGCTGCCTATAATAAGAGTTGATCTTGGCTTGGTGTGGGATGAGATGGGCTTCTCAAAGCTCCTCAGGGGATTCCAATGTGCAACTAGGGCTAAGATCCATTTCACCTGGTGCCAAGGACAATAAAAACAAGTAAGACCTGGTCTCACCTACAAAATCCTCAGTTTAAAAAGATAATAGGAGATGGATTTGAAAACTACCTGGAAAGCCACTCTTATGTAAGTGGTAGGAATGGGGGAATGTGGCAGCACCCAAAACTCAAAGGGGGAGATGGGGGTACCTACTTCACCACCAAGAATAATCCAACTGCAGGAGAGATCACCGAGGAAGAAATGGGGGCAAAGAACAAGGGTTGTGTTGGCCAGGCCACTTTATTAGGAAAGACAGAGAGCGCAAGGGACAGGAAAATTTATGGCCAGCAAATATAGGGGCCAGGAGGAGAAGCAAACAGACATGAGTGAACAGAGGGGGTCCCCTCGAGGCCAGAGAGTGCATCCTCACCAGTCTTGGCTCCTGGTCCCTGGCGCCAGGCTTGCCACACTGAGGGGCTCTCTGGCTACAGCACAGGCAAATACTTGAGTAATCTGCACTGAAGATAGGAAAACCATTTTCCTCTGCCAGTGAAATAATCACCATCACCGCCAGAACTAAGTCCTTATCTCCAACCAACCTCTGAACTAAAACTAACTTCAAACCCACAAATTACTTAATTTAATCCTTGTTACTATCTTAAGAAGAAACTGAGGGAAAAAGAGGTTAATTTTCCCAAGGTAACAGGAGGTGGGATCAATTAGAGAAATGTTCCCGTTCTCTTGCAGAACATTTCTAAGTTCTGGGCTGGTGTGGGGGAAGCACCTTCCCAAACTCTCACTTACCCCAGTGCTGCTGGGCCCGGTTCTCTAGGAAGGGTCTCATTTGGATGAGGCGGGTGGCATAAATGTGGGCATACTGCCGGCTAAAGCTGCGCTCTCCTAGCCGGAAGGGTTGCGAGGAGTTGGTGTAGGTCGCCACTGGCACCCGGGCAAAGGTGGCATTGTTGGCTGATGGTGGGGACAGCAGAGTGTGGGTCCTCTGGGCAGCCTGCTCAGAAAACATGGCCACACTCCTGGCTTGCTTGGTCCACACAGCTTCGCCCAGGCCAAGGAGGGTCACTGTGAAAACACAAAGGCATTCCTGCTGCCCCTGCCCATCCCCAAAGCAGCAGCTCTCCTGCAGTCTCACTGCACCCAAAGGATACTGGGAAAAGAAGGGGAACAACTGTAGTTGACACCAGACATTGTGTCCACTTGGAAATTTATCGTGTCTGGATACCGATGTCTCACCCTGTAGCAGTCATCCAAAAAGAGAAAAGGAAAGCTAGGAGTGTTTGTCTCATCTGGAGTTCTCCCCGAATCCCAGACTCAAGTGTCCTGTTCCATCTGGACAACTATCAGGGTCTCAATCAAGTTCAGCGTGCCCCAAATGGAATGCCTGATCTGCCTCCGTCCAGCTCTCCAGCACCTGCCTCATCTCCAGACATGAGGCCTGCCTTATTAAACAAGCCTCCTGTGAAATAGTAAGTCTATTACTAAATAATTAAATGAACTAAACCAAAACCAGAACATAAATCAGTCACTGCTCTGCTCGAAACTCTCCAAAGTGTCCTCATTTCATTGAATAAGGCCCCAAGTCCTTACAACTGCCTATGAGATCTGCTCCACTGGTCCTCTCCCCTCCTGGTTCCCACTCCTCCACCTTGGGTCCCTCCCCAGAGCAGGAGGCCTCTGAACTCTTGCTTGCCCCTCTCCCATATACCTATAGGGCTCACTTGCCCATTTCCTTCAAGTTCTTACATCTTTACTCAAATGTTACCTTGTGCCCTGCCCATCTGATTTACAACTGCAACCCTTCCCAGTACTTCAATTATGTTGTTTACAGCACTTACCTTCTAACAAACTATATTTTAAACGTATTGTCTGCCTGCTGCAATTAAACCATAAGCTCCAGGAGGGCTGAGATTTTTGTGTCTTATGCCACTACCCACCTGGGGCTACGAAGTATAGATGTGGTGAGTCCAACTGTGATGTTTGGGTTGGACACACAACGGATTTCCAAGAATAGTACAAAGAATATCCCAATACTTTCTTCAAATACAACTGAAATAACAGTTTGGATATATTTATGGATTTATTCCAACTGATTTCTGTTTCGTTTTACTTTTTTCGTACATTTACTAGAAAGTTAAAAAATTCCGTAGCGGCTTGCAATCTATCTCCAGGGGACAGCACTGGCCTGGGACACAGGCTCCGCACACGTGTCTAACGAGTGACTAGTTAAGAGTTTTCGGCTGGAACCTGTTTGATGGCGGCAGCAGCCAGGCCGCGCTGCTTGGGATGGGGCCGAGGGCGCCCCGGGACTGCCCCAGTCACGGCGGGTGTCCCCGGCTCGGATCCACGCGGCAGCTGCGGAACGTCCGCCAAGACACTAGCCCACCGCCCCAGGAGCCCGGTCTCGCGGCCTGGAACCGCCACCCACAGCTGACCCCGTTTCCCTGGACCCTACTCACCGCGCGGCGCGCCGCATCCCGCCAATCTCCGCGCGCCTGCCCCGCCCATCGCCGCAACTCGCCAATCCCCGGGCGACTTCCCCGCCCATCGCCTCAAGTCACCAATCGCTGCCCTCCTCGCCCCGTCCGTCACCAGGCGCCGCATCCCGCCGACCACCTTTCACCCAGTCCCTGGACCTACAGAGAACGCGGAGCCCCACCCTCGGTTTCCTGGGCAACGCGGTGCTGGGGCTCGCGGGGGTGCGCCACGGGTCTTGGGTTGGCGGCCGCGCGTGCAAGGGTTGGGCTGGTGGGAGGTGTAGTCCTCCAGTGGGCTGACCGCATCACCCCGCCAGGCCCTACCCAAACCTCTCAGTGGCCGTCACCCCGCCAGGCCTCCCTGTGGTCGCCCGCCGGCCTCCTTGGTGAAGCCCCCGGCGTCCCGGTTTTCCCCGCAGAGCTGCCCACTTGTAGCAATGGCGTCACGCGAGGAGGATCCCAACAGAAAGAAGGCCCAAGGCCCACAAACGGGGCCGGGGAGAAGTAACCCTTCCTGAAGGGATGGCGCGGGGTGTCGGGGTTCCTCCGGTCCTGCCAGCGTCTGCGCCCGGGAAGTGCATTGGCGGTTTCGGGGTCCTCCCCAGCCTGCCCACAGCTGCACACCAGCTTCCAGCCCAACACTCTCCAATCTCCAGTGTTCTCGTTGTCCCCGTTATTCGTACTCGTTCTTACCACCACATCTTTCTGAGTGCTGTCTGCCACTTTGGGAATACTTTTTTTTTTTTTTTTCCCCATCTCCACTAATTTATAGAATTCCTCGACCCATCAAGAGACGCTTCCCCACTAAGCTTCCCAGGCTCCCCTCGCCGCGCGCTGATTCTCCCAGGCGTCCTCTAGAGCTACTGTTCTGCTCCTTTCCTGGGCCTGTTATCCTAAGTCCAGGTCTTGTCTGCACAACAAGTGGATATTAACACTCGTTAATTATCACTTAATATTTTAATTTTTTGTTTTTGTTTGAGGCAGCGTCTTGCTCTGTGGCCCAGGCTGGAGTGCAGTGGTGTGATCTCGGCTCACTGCAGCCTCGAACTCGCAGGCTCCAGTGATTCTCCAGCCTCAACCTCCGAGTAGCTGGGACCACAGGCGCGCACCACCACTCCTGGCTACTTTAAGTTTTTGTGTGTGTATGCGTGTGTGTGTAGAAACAGGGTCTCTCAACGGTGCCCAGGCTAGTGTGGAACTCCTGGGCTCAAGTAATCCTCCCACCTCAGCCTCCCAAAGTGCTGGGATTACAGGCATGAGCCACCACACCTGGCCTTATATTTTAATTTAAAATGTGATATTTTAATTATTAAAATAATGACACATTAATTCACCTGCTCCTCAAATAATCCTTTGGGTCGGACACAGTGGCTCACGCCTGTGTCCCAGCACTTTGGGAGGCTGAGGTGGGAGGGTCGCTTAAGCCCAGGAAGTTGAGGTTGCAGTGACCTAAGATTGCACCACTGCACTCCAGCCTGAGCGACAGAGCCAGATGCTGTCTCAAAGCAAACAAGCAAGCAAACAAAAAACCTTTGAAGCATGAATTATTATTTTTCTCCCACTTTACACTTGAGGAAATTGAGGCAGAGTGGGCAAGAGAGATCAGTAGCTAGTGAGCAGTAGCTGGGATTCACACAAAGACAGCAGGACTATTGCTGGTAAGGTTGGGCTGTTCTGACCCTTGACCTGAAACATTGTACATGTATTGGGCAAACAAATAATTTTACTTCTTCCTTTCCAATTCAGATGCTTTTTATTTCTTTTTCTTACCTGATTACTCTGGCTAGAACTTCCAATACTATGTTGAATAGAAGTGGTGAAAGTGGGCATTTTGTCTTATTCCTGGTCTTAAAGGAGAAGCTTTCAGGCTTTCAGCATTGAATATGTTGTTAGCTGTGAGTTTTGGGATTTGGCGTATGGATTTTATTATTGGAGGTAGTTTCCTTCTATTCTTAGTCTGTTGAGCTTTTTCTTCTTTCAAAAGAGTGTTGAATTTTGTCAAATACTTTTTTGACATCAATTGTGATGACCATGTGGGTTTTTTTTTCTGTTAATGTGGTCTGTTACATTTATTGATTATTATGTTGAACCATTCTAGTATTTCAGGAACAAATTCCACTTGGTGGAATTACAAACCAAAGTTACAATAATACTAGCTTTTACTGTATTCTCTTTTATATAATTAATTTTATTTTAGTTGACCCTGAATTTTGCTTTACCATAGATCGTTATTTCTCCCCTCCAAGTACTAACCAGGCCCAACTCTGCTTAGCTTCTGAGATTGGACACATTCAGGGTGGTATGGCCATAGATGAGATCTTTATTCCTTTATTCAGCTTTTTTTTTTTTTTTTTTTTTTGAGACAGGGTCTCAGTCTGTCATCCAGGCTGGAGTGCAGTGGCACAATCTCGGCTCACTGCAACCTCCGCCTCCTGGGTTCAAGTGATTCTCTTGCCTCAGCCTCCCAAGTAGCTGGGCTTACAGGCATGTGCCACCACATCTGGCTAATTTTTGTATTTTTTCGTAGAGACGGGGTGTCACCATGTCACCCAGGCTGGTCTCCAACTCCTCAGGTGATCCGCCCACCTCAGCCTCCCAAAGTGCTGAGATTACAGGTGTGACCACGCCTGGCCTCTTTATTCAACTTTGAGTCACTGTCTAGTATCCTTTCATTTCATCCTGAAAGGCTTTCTTTGGCTTTCTTTGCAGGGCAGATCTAGTGATAATGAACTCCCTAAGCTTGTGTTTATCTGGGAATGTGTTCATTTTCCACTTTCTTTAAAAGAACAGTTACGTCAGATATAGGATTCTCAGCTGACAGATTTATTTTTTTCTTTTAGCACTTTGAATATATCAATCTACTGGCTTTTGGCCTCTGAGGTTTCTGATGAGATATCTGATGATCCTTTTCTTTTCTTTTCTTTTTTGAGAGAAGGTCACACTGTGTCACCCGAATGGAGTGCAGTAGTGGCACGATCTTGGCTCAGTGCAACCTCCACCTCTCAGGTTCAAGCAATTCTCTTGCTTCAGCCTCCTAAGTAGGTGGGATTATAGGCGTGTACCACCATGCCTGGCTAATCTTTGTATTTTTAGTGGAGATGGGTTTTTGCCCTGTTGGCCAGGCTGGTCTCAAACTCCTGACCTCAAGTGATCCAACTGCCTCGACCTGCCAAAGTGCTAAGATTACAGGTGTGAGCCACCGTGCCCAGCCGAGATAACTGATACTTTTTTTGAAGATCCCTTGTATGTAATGAGTCACTTCTCTCTTGCAGCTTTCAATATTGTCTCCTTGTCTTTGGCTTTTAGCAGTTTGATTATAATGAATCTCAGTATGAGTATCTTTGAGTTTTTCCTACTTGGAGTTTGTCGAGCTTTTTGAATGTTCATATTCATGTCATTCATCAAATTTGAGAAGTTTTCAGCCATTATTTCTCCTAATAATCTCTCTGGTCCTTCACTCTCTTCTTTTTCTGGAATTTCCACAATTGGTATTAGTCTGCTTGATGGTGTCCCACAGGTCTCTTAGGCTCTGTTTATTTTTCTTCCATCTTTTTCCTTTCTTTTCTGTTCCTCAAATTTGATAATTTCAATGTCCAGTCTTCAAGTTTGCTGATTCTTTTTTTATAAATTTTATAATTTTTAA